AGGGTTCTCAATCCAAACACACTTGATCAGAGCTGGTTAGAGTTTCAAGCTTTCATTTTGTGAGAAATTCTAAAGTTTTCTTTCAGTCCTAGTTGGAACAGGAAAAAAATCAGACCTCTGAAATGTTTGGGGGTTTCTGGTGTGGGTCTTTTTGGGATATTTTTTTTTTTTAATTGGAAATACTGTATCTTTTACTTTCTATTTTATCACCTGACTTTCTAATAACATGTGATTCACATAACAGAAAAGTACATTACTGAAGCCAAGTGCTTGAACAGTTTTTGTTTGCTTGTTTTAAACAGGATATCAACGAAGTGCAACATTTAACATTTTGGGAAAAGCAATGCTTTGGGAAAATTGTCATGAACTTTACAATTGCATTATTTCCTAAAACAATACCCCACAGAAGTTTCCTAATACCCTAACATGTTTTCTGTTCTGAAAATCCCTAGTTTATCACTTAAAGTTTATGTAAATCACATTCATTGCAACAGCTGAGACAAAACTTTACAATGAGTACAGAATTTACTGGGATGCCATGCACTCTGGCCTTCCACTCCCCATGATTTTTCACGACGACACACTGAGAGAGATGAAAAAATCCAGACCAGTACAGGGTAGGATAACAGTAAAAGCCATTCCACAAAAGAACTCAACATTTTCTAGAAGATGAATACGTAACATTCTCCTCCAGGATCTATATGAAACCACAAAACTGCTACTAGAGACTTTAGTTTCAGTAGAGATTTCTATCAATCAAAGAACAGTAATTTTCAGCATATCTTTTGGATAAGCAAAACCATTATCTCTTCTTACCTTTAGTCATTATCACGTTTTAATTGAGAGCCATACCGAGACAGTATTTGGATATGCATGAGTTCTGTTCAAACTTAGGTCATATTTTATATACACTGCAATGCAGCAGTTATTTATTTAACTCTGCTCCTGTTTCCAGAAGTGGTCAGTGACAGACAGCAAGACAACTCTTCTGCAATTGGGCTTTTCTTTTCTCCCAGTTAGCCTTGGGTCAGTGTTCTTGAATGTGTCCTCAGCACAACTGGTGAGGTGCTTTCTCCCCTCTCTGGCTCAGTACACGAAACATGAGGTATGTCTCATTTCAGAAAACACAGTATTGCCCAATAGGACATGACTGCCGCTGCCAAAAATCACTCTAAAAAACCAGGGCAAGTCCATACTGATGTAGATTAAGGTCAGAAACAGAATCTTAAGGCCTCTACACTGAGCCTCTCTCTATCCACTCCTACTGTCCCTGAACTACTTCCTTTACAGTAGTTAAGATACGTTATGTCCCTAATGACTGTTCCATCTAAAAATAAGTGCTCTTGACACACAAGAGATGTCAGACTAGCACAGCAGGATGCTGAAGCGTCTCTAGATGCGTAGCAGGGCTTCTCTTACACTGGGTTGCAGCAATTTGGGAATTCACACTTGATAAATGCAGTAAGAGCGGCTTCTTTTATCTCTTGCAAATGGTGCCAGCACCGATATACTCCTGACCCTTATTTGGCTCTCCAGCTTATTCTTTATGCCGCTCTCTGGAATCATAAAAATCTAACATTTCACTAGGCAGTCATGCGCTGTAGTTGTATATGCTTTTTCACTGACACCTACAGATGAGCTATGTGATTGACAGCAGCTGGCTCAATTTTTTGCTTGAGTCTACCTTTTTTTTTTAAAAAAGATACTTATACAGAAACATACTCTGTTTGCTCTGATGGTGTTTCTCAAGCAGAGAGAAAATGCCTGAACTCTGGAAAGTTTCTTATTTATACGTGAAGTAGCTCTTCTTCAGCTTTTGTTTTCCAGATATAATGGTACAGCAACAGGCTTCTCTGCATTACACTGAAGTAGTGTTATTCCTTGCTTCATAGATCCTTGTCCTTGCTCTTTTTTCAAGGTGAGTGAAAAATCACAGTGGAAGCTAAGTGAAACATAACTATTTTTCTTAATAACATGTTATCCCTGATACGGGCTACGTTAGGCTGATTAATGCCCTTCCAGAGCAAACGCTCAGAGAAATAATCTTTGGTAATTACCATGGGAGTGGGAAACGATCACTCTCTCACATGACAATAGCAGTACTTAGTCTCCTGAAATAGTATTATTTACAAACTTGGAGGGATTAGTACTGTAGGTATTGTTTCTCCCTCTTGTCTTGTATTCTCTTCACTGCAGTAATTTTGTAGATGCCTCTGTTGTTAAGGAGGAATTTTATTTCGGAATTTTGAGTGCTGCGCTTTTCCAGAAACCTCCCAAAAGCTAGGAAAATACAGACTTACAGAGTATGCTTAGCTGAAAGTCTTTTAAGAAACTTTTTTTTCCAATTTGCAATTGTAACAGCATTCTTGTAAAATTTATCAGTACTAAAGCACGTAAACATCACACAGTTACTGCGGTTTTTTTTTCAACAGGTACCTAGGTAACTAATCCTATGAGAAAAAGGACTACAAGAAAGAGAACTACACTGTAAGAGAACTACACTTGAGAAATCACGCAGCAAAGGAAGCACTAAGGCCCATAAAACCAGCATCCAAAAATGCCCCCAAAAAATTCATTTTCTACTGATTGATTCTGCTGGGAGGATTACCATGTTTGGCAAAGGAAAGTACGCTGCCCTGTGTCTCAACAGCATTCAGAGCTTCTCGACTGCTGTGGGTTGTGATTCATTCGTTGGCTAGGATGCTCACTTTTGTCTGCTTGCCCTACAAGGTTTCAAGAGTTACCTAATTTTTGTTTCAGTAGAACTGTATGTCGTGTTTATCCAGTATGTGATCGACAGTGCCTCTGGGTCATCTTTTAAAAAAGAATTCTGTGATTTCAGAGCATAAAAACTGGTCTCGCTTGTCCTGTCAGCAAAGCCATTATGTCAGGAAAAGTTTAACTTCTACTCCTCATAAGGATACAAATTTTTTCAGGATTCACATCCTTTCATGTCCCAGGAAAATTCAGAGATCAGTTCCAAGAGAGACAAGAAGAGGGCCAATGTTTGCTTCCCTTCTGAAGGAAGCTAGAAACTACCTTATCCAACAGGTAGACCAGTATTTGGTATCCACTATTACAGCAAACACAAGGTAGGCAAGGAAGAAGTAATGGCCTTATCTTTAGGAGTTCATGGACACATTCATTACTGTAAACTGCTTACTGAGCCTTTCAGCTCTACAACGACTGAGCCAGAAGCTACCACGGACACCTGGGGCCTGCACACGGAACTCGGCATCACAGGCGCAGGTGTTGTAACAGTTCATTGCAAACTGTGCACAGCTCCAAGGTCTTCACAGCTCCTTCCAGGAGAGTCATTCTGTCCCAATTATCAACAGAACCTGCCAGATAAATTATGCACTGCAGAAAAAAAAAAAAACCCTCCAGAATACTTTTCCAGTTCCTAAAACACTAAAGCACAGTAAATGATTGTCAGGCTCAAATATTTTTATAAATCAGACTGGAAAAGAAAGATGATAACCCTTAGCTGAGCTACTCGCTTGTGGTCTAATACCCTGTATTATGTGACCCTGTATGAACATGTGAATGTTACTGCATGAAAAATATCATCCAAATGGTCAACACTAATATTTGTCCTCCCAAGGCAGACAATTTGGGACACTCCCAGCCAGTACACTCCCTTCCTACCAAAACAAGCAATGAAAGAACACAGACTCTGCTCCAATTACTAGTTTTCTTATTTAAGAAAACTTCATTTCAGTGAATGAAAAACATAAGAAAACACTGTGTACCAACAGCAAATATTAGGACTTCTTACTCCTGAGCTCCTCTCTAGCTGATGGGGCAGAACAATTTCAGGGCGAGAGGCAGATGAGATCTCAGCATGCATGCACAAGTATGCAACAGATGTGTTTTGTGCAGCTTGGTTTACTGTATACTGTTTCTTTATTATACTACAAAAATCTTAAGAAAAATAGAGAACTTCAGTACTATTAATAAAACCTTGTAAGATAATTATTCTCTAGTCAGTTTAGTGAGGAAGTCCTCCTGGCAGCTTCACAACTGCAACACTTCAACACCAAGCATTTTCCCTTTGCCAGCGATAAAGGTGTTCCTATGGCTATTGCTTTGTTTGAAAACCCACTTGGAAATTTCTAAGTCTCACCGAACCACTGAATAATTTGCCAAGTTGGCAAGCATTCTTAGCAAACCAGGGAAAAAACCTTTCTCAGATCATTTTATGAAAGATGTACACTTGGAAGTTGCCCTAGAAAACTCACTCAACCATTATGTCATTGATATAGCATGACATGCTGTATCCATGACATAATGGTAGAGTGGGTTTTCTGTATGTTGTGCAAATTCAGGGAACTACTTTCACTTTTCTTCCTCATGTGGCTTTATCTTGGGCTATTATAGCATCCTTTTAAAGCAAAAGAAAGTTATTTCAAACCACTAGTTTAAAAAAACAGTGCTGCTGAAAAGCTGCATCCTTACTTCTTCTGTAAATAATGACCAATTAAAACCACCAGCAGAAGTCAACAATGAGAAATTGCTACATACCTGGGCCTTCGGAAATTCTGAGAACCTGCAAAGGTCCCAGTTCAATAAGGCTTTTAAACGTTTCAAAGTCGCACGGTAATCCTCATTTCTCAGACATACAATTGAACACCTGGCTGAACCTGAGCCCACACCTAAAAGACCATCTCGGCACACACAGGCACAGCTCTGCCTAAGGAATTCTCCATTGCAAAGCGTTAAGGAAACTCTGGTGTCTGGCCGACGTTGAATGCAGTTATTCAGTGAAGTTTAACGGGTCACTCAGCGACTGAAATAAAAGTCGGTTCTTGAAAACTGGTATAAAAAGCATCTTTACTGAACAACTTATGAAAAGGAAACTGTGTATAATGTGAAGCCATTAAACAATCTACATTACGGGTACTGACAAGAACTCTGTAAAACATTTCCAAATATTTTGCTTGTCCACAAATTATTCAGTGAAAAATATACGGAACGGGTCACATTATGCAAGCAATCATTTAAAAAAGTCAGTGTAAAAAAGGCCATTTTATTTCTAACTGTTTTCTTCCCCTGCCTGTTTCCCAAAACATGTAGAGGACAAACACCACATGGATCACTTTTCAGTCTCATTCTCAGGTTCACTGTCTCCACTATCACTGTCCCTTCCAGGATGTTCCGGCATTGTCCGATGCTCATCCACTTCGGGCAATTTCAATTCTCCTTCCTTTAGCGTTTCTTCTTCTACTTTATTTTCTTCTTCTTCTGCATCCTCTTGCATGCCCTGCACTTCACTTTCTACTTCAGTCTCTTGAGTTTGAGCAGGTTCAGTTTCCTCAATCATGGCAGGTGGGGGCAGTAAACGCTAGATGATTAAAAAAGAAAGGAATTTCAGGTTTTACAGCAAATACATCTATTTGGGCACCTATTTCTATTTTAGCCTGAACTGTTCACCTTATATTTAGGATTTTGTATTTGATAACAAGCTAACAACAAATACTTAAAATTTAGAAGCCCTCACCACACGACTAGCCTCTATGCCAACACACGGAACATGGGAAATAAGAGGAGCTACAGGCGTGTATGCGCATGAGGGGCTATGACATCATTGCATCATGGAGACGTGGTGGGATGACTCCTATGATTGGAGTGTCAGAATGGAAGGATACAGGCTCTTCAAGAAGGACAGGCAGGGGAGATGGAGGTGGGGGGTGGGATTTGCTCTCTATATCACAGACCAGCTGGAATTCGTGGAACTCCACCTGGGGATGGATGAGGAGCTGACTAAGAGCTTATGGGTCAGGATTAAAGGGAGGGAACGGAGAAGGGATACTGTAGTAGGAGTTTGCTACAGGCCACCTGGCCAGGATAAGCAGGTGGATGAGGCCCTCTACAGACAGATAGCAACAGCCTCACGTTCACATACCCTGGTCCTCATGGACTTTGAGGACACAACCACCCCATC